TCTTTCCCACTTCAGAAAGAAAACCTGGAATGCTCTTCTGTGCTACTATTGTATGTATGTTCTGAAGAAGTCACACAAAAGGCTGTGTTTGCTGCTGCTTCACCATGAGCTCCATGCGCTATGCGCCAGGGACCCCCAGGATATGTCGCTCCAGGATGGGCCGGTTCCAGTTTCAGCGGGAGTCCCTCCTGAGAGCAGAAGCTCTGTAACACCAGCATTCATCAAACCACCTCACTATGACTCTGCTCACCAGAGCTAACTGGTTCAGTCTGCAAGCACGAGCTTCTCGTGTGCGTTGTCATTTGATGCAGTGTTATTACTATTACCACTCTTGTGTTTTGAAATGACTGGTTCAGCATGGTATACTGACTGCTAAAATGATCTCTACCAAAATTTCATGTTAATCTGAGTATATCAGTTTCTCTGTTCCATGTTTTAGTCACTTTATTTCAAAGTGAAAATGCACTTAGTCCAACACTGGATTGAAAAGATGAACTTTGAAAATAGCAAGCTTGAATGCCATGTGGTTAACTTTTTCTTCCTGCTGTTTTTGCTACCTATTTGTATTAAAGCTCAATTCCAAAACATGGTCTTCTCTATGTTGTAATTTGCACATTACGATTATGATGGACTTAGACAATTCTATCATAACATAAGAGAAATCTATTTTGCATGTGCAGGGTGAAACTGCCCTGTCTCTGGCTAAAGAGTAATTGGAGTAGGTCTTTCTCTGAATCTTTCCTGTTGGAGTGGATTCGCCTGGGGGCCAGCGGGAGACAGGTTAATTCTGTACCCTGTAATTAAAGTGTGCGCCTGGGATACAGTAGACAAAATGCCATTTGAGCTGAGAAGACCAGATAGTTGAGTGCTTGCATTATTTCAGGTAATGTAGTGCCTCCGTTATCTTGTACTGCTGGGAGAGAAATTATTCATAGGTGTGCATTTGTGGCTCTTATTTCATCAAAGTATTGAAAAATATTTTGCTGATTAGAATCTGTATGTTTCAAGAAAAGGTGGTTATTCTGTTTTTACTTTCTTATTAAAACTGATTTTCAGTGAAAGTTCTTAACTAGCTCCAGCTGATGCTTTGGTGTGTTGTGTTCACCTCCCCCCCCCACCTCCCCCCACTAACAGTCAGGATAGTACAGGAAACAGTATGTAAACTCCACTGAAATCCATTGTATTCTACTGGTTATTTATGATAGTATCTGTATTAATTTATTTTGAAGAACAATGTTTCCTAGATATTTATTCTTAAAAGATAACCCTGGAACTCCCAGGAGGATATTGAAGAATATATCGCCATTGTTCCTGTGTTATTTGAACTGAAGTGAGAGAATGGATGAAATGTGACCAAGCACTATGATTTTAAGTTCAGGAGTGTCGTGGTTTCCATGGAAACAACTAGCTCCGTCATAGCTACCGAGTTAAATGCTTATAGGATTTTGCTGTTTCTTCCTCTAAATAAAATTTGATTATGCTTCATTTGGGTTTTCTTTCCCTTCACTTCAAACTTCTCTGAAATTTGCTAACTTAGTTTTTATCAGTGCAAAGTTGCCTTAGCCATTCCTTGTTTGAGAAAGTAGTTGCACTTAAAAATATGTTTCTCTTTGTAGTAATCTAAAGATGAGCATGTCATTGGAGCTGGTTATGAAGTTCACCTTAGTCTTGAATAGAGTGATGTGGAGTGCCGTCACACTTTCATGGTGTCATGTTTGGATCGCTCCACTTCCACAAGTGGTGTGGCTTTGAACGAGTGACGCAGGTCTGTCAGCCGGCTGGCAGTGAAACTTCAGAGCTTTGTTCAGTCACATTGACAATTTGTGACTTCTCATGTTCCATGTCCTTATTTTTTCCTGATATGAAGTAAATTTATTACAGGTGCAAGGTATTGTAAGGGTAGAGCAAAGCCCCGTTGTGCATCTAAAGCTAAATGCAGGGGTTGTGAGTGTTGGCAAATGTAAATTTTAGGTGTTCAGTTAAGGAAGTGCAGTTAAGTTACCTGTATTCCCTACAAAGTATCTGGTGAAAATAGGTGTCTCCAGGTGTGATTCATAAGAACGATAGTTTTATTTATTTTACCAAGTGACTCTTGAACAAGAGTCCAGAATCAAGGATCTCTTATCTCTCGTGAGAATGCTTGCATCATTGGGCTACAAGTTCATACTTCTTGCTCACTTTCTTACCTTATGCACCTGCATCTCAGTCCCCTTACCAGCCAGTTTCTTGGCCAAGAAGGAGCTAATATTATTATTCTAAATGTGTCTCTTAAATTCCCAGAAAGCTCTGGAAATCTTCAGAAGGCTGCTTGGGAAAATGACATTGGATCCAGTGATCACAAGCTGATACAGTTAAAATCAAATGGAAGAATAAACAAAGGAGGAGTGTATGTAAAGGCTTTGGATTTCAAGGGGGCAGATGCTGATTAAACCAAGTGTACTGGGTTAGTATAAGGAACATATGTGAAGAATTTGCATGCTTGGTGTTTCTTCCGGTCGAAGACATTAAAGGTATAAATATCTGCATGCTAGATGAGCGAAAGGATGTAGAGACAGACTGAATTTGACAGATGAGTAACCACCTCAAGAAGGATATTGAGAAGGAGCAGAGAAGAAATAATGGAATAAAATTCACAATATATATATTTACCCAAGTTAGATTATGATGGATTCATTAGCCAATTTTCTTCAGAAGGAGAGTGTTTTTCACATGAGGGAAATGCAGAAGCAGCGTAATCTGTCTGGACTTCAGTGAGTAGTTGATGTTGCATAGGACAGGATTGGTTTGGGAAGGCAAGGTTTGATAGAGTGTGTGAGTTGGGTGGAGAAGGTGGTAAGATGTGGAAGTGTCAGGCTGGCAGTTATGCTTAGTAGAGTTCTTTAAAGATTAATTTTGGGACCAGCTATCTTTCTGATGTTTTCCTTTATGCCACTGACACAAGGAAAATCAGTACGCTGATGTAATTTGTCGATGACGAAAATTTGGAGGCACTGGTAGTACAGAAGATGATCATGGTGTTGTATGGAAAAGACTGGATTATCTCAAAGGCTGAATTAATAGGAACAGAATTAATTGCATTAATATAAAAATATTCTGTACATCATGGGTGGCTAAAAGCAATATTTCATAATGCAAGCTTGAAGGCTTATGTCGTGGAAATGACTGGACTTTGCATTGCATTGCAAATGCAGTGCATTGCAGAGCATTGCAAGGTTACTGCATTGCAAATGTGAGACAGTTGTGATCTTCGTATGGAAATGGAGAGGCATTTGCAGTCGATTTAAGGAGGTTCTAGTATCATTTTATAAATTTCTGAAATATTATGTATAATTCTAATCATGCATACTTAAGAAAAATGAACCAAAAGTAACACAGATGGAGATTAAAGTGAACTGTAGAATTATTCACTCTGGAAGGGACCTTGAGAAATTTTCTAGCCCAACCTCCTGCTGGAAGCAGGGTCACCACTGAATTCAAACTGGGTTGCTCGGGGCTTTGTCAGTTGGGTCTTGAAAACCCCCAAGGACAGAGCTTCCAAAGCATCTCCGGGTGACCTCTTCCACTGCTTTGATGTCCTCAGGGTGAAAACCTTTTTCCCTATCACAGTTCAAAGCTTCTTTTTTTCCATTTATGACTATTGTCTCTTGTTCTTCTGTCTTGGACTTCAGTGAAGAGGTCGTCTTGGTAATTTAGGCATAGGAGGGTTGCTAATAGGTGCTCACCAGGCCTCTAGGCTAACCAAGCCCAGTTTCCTTAACCTCTGTTGATGTGCTTCAGAGCTTTGAAGACAGTGATCACAGCAAGGGCCAGCCTATTAATGAGGAAAACCTTTGCTTGTTTATTTTAGCAAAGTATGTCCTTTTCTGCAGATGTAGAAGAAAGCCATCAAAACCCCAAGGGGGGGGAGGGAAGCCTATTATAACTAAAGCACAAAGTAGGTCTGGCATCAGTGAATGTAAGAATAAACTTTGGCTGGGAATTAGAGGAAAGCTCCACTCAATGGGGCAGTCAGGATCTAGAGCAGCCTTCCAGGGAGTGTAAAAACTGAAGTTCTTCATTATATTGAGGTGGACACATTTCCAGAAGGAACTACATGAGACGATATAACTGCCTTAGGAGTGAACTGGAGCCTAGAACCTGCAGGTCCCTGCTGACTTGGCCTACGTAATGCTGGTGTTTCACTTAGACTGTTATTCAGGCTTGGTTCAACCTCTTAGGTGAATCTGGTGGAATTCAGTCAGTAAAGTGTACTGCATGGTGCTGTGAGGTTTCTCTTTGGCCTAGAGTCATTAGGAAACTTGGATGTGTCTTTGGAGAGCGAACTTATTTCTTACAGTTACGAACTTGAACTGGGAAGTAAATGTATTGGATTTTGAGAAGTGAAACTTCAGTCTGTATTTCTGAATGCTCTTATCGCTTTCCCTTCTGGTCTGTTGTTTTTAATTCAGTTTCACATCTATTAAGAAAAGGAAAGAAACCTAGTCTTGTGTATGTATTTTAATCTTAAACAGCTGAAGAAAAGCAGTTAGTTTAAACTTGGGGTTGTATAGCATTTTGCGATATGACACTTCTCCTCCTCTGCATTTTAATTGTAAGATGGGAGGAATCTTAAGCTGCTACTGGAGCATAAAATTGGTAACAAAGTAACTCGTGTAACTGAAAAGATAGGAAGTCACTTAAACATCAAGAAATGAGAAACTGATAATCTACACTATGTTTCTTGATGTTTAAGTGACTTCCCATTTATTTAACTTTAGCTGTGAAATTAGAAGCACTGTAGCACTAAGACATTTTGTAGTTACGCCTTAAAGAATGAACAAACTCTGTTGCAGATGCCTATAACAAACAAAACACAACTTATTCTATATCTGCATATACACGACCCAAATTTCTGTCCCAAAAGTTGTGGTCACAGTTGTTACTCCAATCTTTGCATATATATATAAATATATACATATATATACACACACACACATATAGATAAATATATGTTTTGAATTTACGGGGTTTTTTTGGTTTACAGTATATAACCTACACTGAAATTCTGTGTTGTGTATGCGATGCGACTGATGGGGTAGTTACCGGAGCTGTAATTACGCGGCTGGTGTTGGGGGAGCGAGGGGGAGGGCTGCATGCTTGAGAGCACAAACAGAATGCGCGGTTACGTAACGGCGCAGAGGGGATGGAGTCCACAGATTGTGTTTAAGCCTGCTTCTGATACTGTGGCTCTTCTGAACTGCTTTCATAAGTAACGTTGCAGCTGGTGCTATAATGCAGAAGTGTGAGGATATGATCCCTATTAGTTTGCTGTAGCAAAAGGCTGGAATTCCCTTTGGTAAAAGAAAAAAAAAATATCAGGACGGTTGTTATGTCCCCTATGGAAGAGCAAACGTGTCAGGGCCACGAGAATCGCAAAAGTGTCTCGGCACCAAGACTCTCTTGCCAAGAATAGGTGGAGGGGCTTTAAGCATACAAGGGATACAGATACAACTTCCTTGCTAGCTTTTAACATAGGAAATAGGATACAGGGTAGCTAAGACCACTAAGAAGCCTTTCATAACTGGAAAAAATAAAATTTACTGCTTTTGTGGCAAAAAATTCTCTACCTAACCAAATTTTTTTTTGAGTAAATGTGTATACACATACGCCTTTTTTTTTTTTCTTCCCCCTCCTCCTTTTAGATATGGACTTCCATTAGGGGCATTTTGCCAGAATGGTTTGTTTCAGATCCCCTATAGTTTGTTTGAAGTGGGGTTCTCAGGCTTGCAGGATTAGTAGCACAGCAGTTGCAAGCCATTAAATTTCCCAATGCTCTTGAGGGGAATGAGATTTGACTCTAAATTTAAAGGCAAGTTTGGGGATTCTTTGCTTCAAACCCTTTGAGGTAGTGTGATGTGCAACTCAAGACTAAGATTCCTTCAAGCCAAGATTAAGAAATAGAAATATAAAGATATATATATATCTTCTATATATATGTGCATATACAGAGAGAGACAAACATGCAAACTAAATGTGTCAGTGGCATGCTGTACTATAAATAAGAAAATACTTTAACCTTTCATTAGAGCAGCTGTTTCCTTGCACTTGATGCAACATCTGCTTGACTGATTTAAGGATTTATTTTGGGCTTCTGCTGATATTTGGTGATATTTTTTTTTTTTGTTAATGAAAATATTCCTCCTGCATTTTATACATACTTTATATTATATCCTGTAAAATTATTAGTTTATCTTGATGTGCCTTTTATGTTTCATAGTAAGACTATAAGAAACGTTCTTCAGCAACAAAAAACTTCAGCACTATTAAGTTATCCATCTTGGGGGGGCGGGGGGGGAGAAGGAACTAACATTTTTTCACTTTTTTTTTTTCCTGTTGCTTATATAGATTTTACATTGTATATTAACTGCAGAAGTAGGACTTAATCAAATTTTCCAGGAAGCCAAGTTAGTTTTGGTTATTTCTCTGTGATACTCTTCTCCTTTCTGTATTACCTTTAGTGTGCCTGGGTAATCTCAAAACTCAGTAGCGAGAATAAAAAGAAATGTGTCTCCTTAATGTTATGCTAGCTGAAGAATAACTTTAGTTCTACATTAATGCTGTGCCCTAATCATATTTTAAGTCCCAAGCAGGACTAATCTTCTGGATTTTTTAAAATAGTCTTCTTGTAGGTTCCAAATCAGACAGTTCTAGGGAGCTGATGGTTTGGTGTTACATCTGCTGCCTAGGAAAGTGTTATGATCTTCAAAACAGGTAATCTTCACCACAGATAAACTACACAGATGAAGGGAAAGAAATCCTTAGATAACCTGCATAAAAACAGAGCTGGAGCCAGTTAGGGTAGAGCAAATGGATGCAGGGGGATGCGAGTGAGAGGCAGGAGGGCTGCTGGCGAAGCAGCAGACACTGCTGCCGAATATTTGGGGTTGGTTGGTTTGTTTGTTTTTTAAACAGGCAGCCCATTCCCAAGTACAATAACAGTTTGTGACGCAGTCTAAACCTCCTAAATTTTTGGCAGTATGTTGGTGTTGTAATGAGATGCATTAATGCTTAAAGGATAATTAAAGATAATGAGGTATAGAGAAAGTGGAATGGAGCGCAGTTCACCATGCCTTTGAAAGCTGGAGCGTGGCAAGCTGACTTTTGATGAAAAGAACTTATTTTCTACCTAGACATTTTTATAGTTTCATCTGAATACGTATATAGTTACTGATGTGGTTCTGTATTGCAAACTGTTGGTGAAATAGGAGAAATTGGGATTCAATAGAGGACTTGTGAGTGTGTGTAAGGGCCTAACATAAAGGACCTAGCTGAGAGGAGGGGGAAACCAGCTCAGAGAGAGCTCGTTACTGGAATTGTTATGGATCAATTGTCAGATAGGTCTTATGTTTCCTGATTCATTTAATGACAAAGGTACGTGTAAAAGGATCATGCTGCTAGAATTTGTTGATGACACGAGGTTTGAAAAATGCTCTTAATGTAGAGAGAAAGAAGTGTTACACAGAAATTTTGGGGGGATTTCATAGGCCGTGGGCCAAGACATGGGGGAGATCTGAAACATCTTTGTGGTGCAGAATACTTCTTTCCACCTAGCCTCCTTTCCCTGGGAGGGATGGAGTAATATGAGTGGGATGAAATTTGGAGCATTGTGCTTTAGGGCACTACAGCCAACGTGTCAGTTATAGGCGTGGAGGCTGAATAACTGAAAGGATCAAAGTAGAGAGGGGTACAAAGTAACTGAGCAAACGGCATGGTGCAGTTATGAAGAAGGCGTATGTGCTCTTGGGACACAGTCACAGAAGATGTTTCCAGTAGACAGAGGAAATTACTGGTGTTATACAAGCATCTGGTGAGACATCATTTAGTATGCTTCAGAAATAATCATCGGTTTTGAGGAGAAAAGAGAAGAAATTGCAATGTGCAGAGACAGGCTCCTAAGATGAATGGGGAAATGGGTATTTCACTACAGAAAGTTTGAAGAGCTTGTCTTGGGTAGTCCCGCTAAAGAAACCATATATGTAAGTGTTGGCTATACATACACAGGTGGAGACGGCTAAGAGGGGGAAACTAATTAAACTGAAAGACAACATAAGCAAAACAACAAGTGGACATAGTCTGGCCATTGCTAAATTTAGGCATAACATTTTGAAGCTGTAATTCATTACAGTGGTCAGGTTTTTGGATTAAAGAGGAATAGTGGAACTTGGTCTGCTTTTTCTGCTAAATCTTGGTGAGTTTTGAAAATAATTCCTTAATCGTTCTGGAAATATCAAAGAAAATGGAACTTTAATGTTTATAGCCAGATGTGTTCTGAATTTTATGAATAATTGTCTTTAAACAGCATTCCTGCAGCTTCTCTCCTTTACGTTTTTTCGCAGTTTCCTGGTATGCAGCGATACCCTTACAGTGGCTGTGGTGCTTTCTCAGAGACAGCTACCACTTGGCTTCTTTCCTGGGCTAATGGCAGAACTCGTATTTTCTGAAGGGCGTTAGCAGGGGGACAGGGAGGGGAACTTAGCCCTTTTATGCTAACTCTTTTTAGCCTTGCTACACTTTGAAATAGAGACTGAATTGCTTTTTGGAGGGGTCATTTTCTTCATTGACCTTGAAGTGTGCAGGGTGATAGAGATTGTAATTTGGATACCTCCATTAGGTGCTTAAAGACAGGTGGGATGGATCCAACCCAAAGCATTCAAGAGAGAACAGACAATCTGTCTGGAGAGCTTCTGAAATAAGTGGTGAGTAGGTAACTGAGGCAGGGCTGTCATATTCAGTAGATGTGATGTGCTGAGACTTTTGACCCTGAAGAAGTCTTGAAAACTTGAGCATCGCTGTAAATGTTTCCTTCAGTATTTGATCTAGAAAAGAGTTTACTGAATTCCAACAAGGAAAGCTTTGTTACAACTTAACTTAACATGAGAGCCACAGTTTGAGCGTGTGATTTGGAAAAAAGTATCCAAGCAGTTAGTATGCTAAAGTCTTGCTAAAAGTGGATGCAATTTAGGCTTGTAGGCCAAAACAGAAAAGCAGCTAGACGCCTACTTGCCACGGGCATTGGTAAGTGTTAGCTACCCAAACGCATTTTGTGACCTTGCTAGCAGTTGCTTGAGGAACCAAAATTTAATCTCTTTTGCGTTGTAAGTAATGTCATAGCGAGCTCTTTGTAGGGGTTATTTTAGTGCTATATGGAAAAGGAATTCTATTCAATAACTTGCAAATAGAAGAGGGGAAAATCATAGCTGAAGATGCTGATGTTATATAAAGGAAATTGATGCTAGAAAAACTGTGATGTGGTGTTATTACTGTATTGCATGTGGATCTCAACCACTTTGCTTGTAGTGGAAGACAATGGTGGGACAAAGTTTAGGGTTCAGAAGACTGGCAGAGGGATTCAAGTTCTGTGGCAGCCGGGACCGAGGAAGGATGCTTTCTGACTCCCTGGTGTTTCGTAGGAGGTGCAGTGGGCGAGATCAGGGCTGACAAATATCGTACTGCAGGGAGTGTGCTACGGCTTTTACTGAGGCTCACAGCCTATTCAGTGCAGATTTTGATATTTTTAGTGCTCTTTCTTTGGGTTAATTTTTCAGGTTTATATTTTTTCCTCTTCATTCAAGTAGATACGTTGCCAGTGTGTCTTGGCTGGAACTTTTTTATACTCTGCTGAAAGCTTTTTTTAATGGCACAGTTGATTCAGTCACTACCTATCAGAATCTTCTGGTGTTTATCGTCAAAAATACAAGCTGTTAGAATTTAATCTTGCTAGATTATGTGTAAACAAACAGAATTTTATTGACCTCTTTGGCCCTATTTTTAACACCATCTTAAACTATTTTTTCAAATCAGTTTGGATCAATCTTCTAAAACCAATGGCAACTTTTTAGTAACTTTTAAAAAAAATAATGTAAGTCTTTTCTGGATGCTTTCCTAATACTGCATTTTTTTTACAGATAAATTTGCGCCTCATCTTGGTAAGTGGCAAAACGAAAGAATTCCTGTTTTCACCAAATGACTCTGCTGCAGATATCGCAAAACATGTGTATGACAACTGGCCGATGGGTGAGTAGCTGTGTGGCTTTGACTTTTTAACTGGCGAGCTAGAAGTTTCCCTGTATATTCAGACTAAAGTGTCAATAAACTGATGGCTGTCATCAATGTTCAAATTAAGTATGTTTTTTGTGTCTCTGGGTGTAGATTTATGTAGAAATACAATTGTCTTCTTGCCTTCTTTTTCTCTGTTTCTTCAGTTGGGCAGATTTGTAGATCTCTGGACTATTTCCCACTTTATTTCTAAAATTTACTTCCCCAAACTGAAGTACTTCTTTCCCCCTATCTTTAGATGCTTTCTTGATCAATCTTGTTAGAGAATCTAGTAAGTGTGAGGAAACGTTGGAGATATAAAACCTCTTCTGTCAGGACAGCTAATGTAAAACATAGCACGTCATAGGAACACATTAGTGAAATTAAGTCTGAAGTACTTCTTCCTTACTGCCTTATCTTGGAAAGGATCTGTAATAATGATATTTTTCTAGGAAAAAATAAAATACAAAAGAACATTTTAAGGACATTAAAAGACCGAGGGGAAACTGAGGTTACTTGTATGAATATATTTGGTATTACACAGGAATACTAGCTTTGAAAAATGGAATTGAAAACTTAAGATGTGTATTCACATATGTGAATAGTTCCACAAAAACAAAGTGCTTCTGTTCTCCCTGACTATGATTTCATGGGAAAATAGCCAAAACACAGACATAGCATTACATATGATGAAAGAAAATGCTTCTTTTGGTACAGGACTTCATTTGGGTTACTGTTTTGATGTTAAAAAAGCCTACTATTTCCACAAACTAAAACTTTGCAGTATCTGTTTTTGTGGTGCCTTTGTCAAAGAGTTATGGCGGATGATAATTCATGCCAAGAACTGTTGATAATCCATATTTTAGGCCTTAAACTGGTCAGGAACACCAAACACTTGTTTGGTGTTTGTTTTGCTGGGAGGCAGCATTATGTATTTAGTAAAATATGTAATGAAGGAGGAGGTCTTTAGTCCTCTGAAATATTAGATGTAGATGTAAAATATTTTTACCCTAAGAAATCTGGTTGATACAGCATCTGTGTAGCTGCTGTACATATTTTAATGTGTGCCTACGACATAGTTGTCATGACCAAGTGGTTTTTGTGTACTTTTATCTGAATTAGTAAAGGCAGAACTGTTTTTTTTCTTACTTAAGTTTATTCTTGAACATGTGGCCTCGTGTTCCCAGTCTTGTGAAGAGCTTGAAGGTTGCAGGTTCTGAGTTTAGAGTTGGGAAGAAACCCAGATTTTAAAGTCTCTTTTTTAAAGAAAAAGTAGAACTGGACATGGAAGCCTCAGTTCAAATACCTGCTGTCCTGAGGGAGTGCTCTAAATCTTGATGAATATTTAATTGCCTGTGCAAAGAAGAATAGTGTCAATTTAAAAGACTGAGGAAAAATCTACTTCAGAATAGTGAATAGGTTTTCGTAAACATTAGCCCGCTAGCTGTTTTCAGACTGAGAGTGCCCTTTGCCACGGGACCGAGAAATCTTGATGAGGACTAAATTTTACTTGAAATACAGATGATATGAAATGATTAGCTTTACTACCATTTTGACTTGTCATGATCTTGTGGGGAAAAAAATTCATGAAATATCCTTCGTCACATGCTGGCAGGATTAAGGCAAACCTCTCCTCCCCTCTTTGTTGTTAATTAAGGATCTCTTGCCTTGTAGTGGAAAATGCCAAATTTATATTAATGTATCATCTAGGTAGGTTACCTGTTCTCTTCCACCCTCCTGCCTTTTTCTTCTGAATAGTATTAACTTTTTTCTTGTACAGCAATTATCT